GTAATAATATAAAAATATTGTATAATAAAAAGGATAGATAAAATAATCCAATTTTGGCCTAAGCGATGGAACCTTTTTATACATTTTAAAGATTTTTTGATGTGCTGAATCATTTGCAAATATTAATTTCATGTTGATGCTAAAAGGTTGAAAATCGCATTCAAAATAGAACTTTAATCCTATTTTAATTCTCTTTTAAACGTTAATCCTATTTTAAATTTACATTATTTTAAAAGCCTCTAAATATTGTTTTTTGCATATGTTTATAAATTTATTTAAGTATGCGTTACAAATAAGTGTATTTTTAATAAAAAATGTTCTTATTTTTATGATATTTTTGTTTAACTCTTGTAAAAAAAAAATTACATTGCATTTTTTTTAACGTCACAAAAATTGAACTTATCTGAAATTGCATCACATTTTTGTTAATTACAGAAAATAAACTTACAGGATGCGGCGCTAAAATCCGGACACAAAAATGTTTCTTTGAAAAAGCTGTTTATTTTAAATATAATATAAAATATACAAAAATATGTTTTTGTATGTTTGTTGATAGGTTCTATCGAAGCCCTCCCCTACTCGATGTAATCCCCCTGTAGTGGAATTTTGTAACTCGTTATGCGATTGTTATGTGCTCATAACGACAGTCGCGCAAATATTTTATATGGTAAAAAAGCAGTGCAACTGTCGTTACGAACTTACAACGACTGCGTAACGAGTTACAGAATTCCACTGCTGTGTCGCTATTATTTTCTTAATTCGGTCTCTGAAACGCGTGCACGCGTCCTTTAATTGCGCGCAGTTCACGGCAGCAAATGCTGCTTCAGTAGCGTCCTAGAGGGGAACTACATTGGGGTCTCTTCGCATTGGTAATTCTTTCAATAACGCTCTACATATAATAATTTAAAGGATTCAAATCAGGGCTGTTAGGCGACCAGAAATCTTTAGACCAAAAGAGCTCTACATGATCCTAGAGCCAATTTTGCATCAAAACGCTTTTGATTATCGCTGCTCTTCGGTTATATTGTGCACTATTCTTTATTTGTTCCGCCATTTTAGGTTATTAATATCTCACCTATGTATGTAGTCAACATTAGCGCCATGTGGCACTTTCGGCGGGACTATAAAATAATGAGAATATCGAATTGAATTTTGTCCGGATTCTAGCGCCGCACCATGTATATCAAAGTATGGTAATTATTCAGAATACCTCCCTCACCTCCGATTTCGATAAAATTAGGCTCATTCAACGCGTTTTTGCATGAAACGAAAGAATCTGGCAGAAAAAAGTATCGCTCTGCCTCGCGAACCGAGATATTTAGCGTTAAAGTTGACGACTATGGAGGTTAGGAAATCTGTCATACCGACTATGTGTGATAAATTAAACGTATGTAGTAGACTTAGACAGTGTCCGCTTGGAATATTTGTAACCCATGTAGACAGTGGGATGTATAGACAGTAATACTTGGGTTCGGGGCGACTACGCCGCCCCGAACAAAATATAAATATCATATCCTACCCGCTTGGGGCCTAATTGCCTAGAAGTTACAGCGTAGACAGTGTCCGCTTGGAATATTTCTAACCCATGAAGACAGTGAAGGGGTGTGCGAAAACAGTCTTTTTAACTAGACAGTAGAAAGATTGCGTTCTCACACCCCACTGTCTACATGGGTTAGAAATATTCCAAGCGGACACTGTCTACTTAATGCCTATTTCTACAAATGTAGATTTATTTTAATTTCGGTTCAGCGTATGCTTTTTTTTCTAATTCTTAAGATCAGAAAAGGGAAAAAATGAGAACCCAGATTAAATTTAATCCACGTTAGTAGAAACGAGCATAAGCTGACCAAGTGCATAACCGCAATACTCAAATTTGAGTTGTATAATAAAAGTGTTTTTATTTTCTTTTTTTTGTAAGACTTATACATATCTTTCATAATATAGAATACGTTTACGCCATATAGCTCGATTTACGTCGAAGTTATAATATCAATGTTATAAAACTGGTCAATCATAACTGTTTCTCTGAATAATGGAATGACCGTGATTGGTCATTTTCCTAACATTGATGTTACAACTTCAGCATCCGAATGGATCCAAATTGGGGTGATCCCGATTGATCATGGCTCGATTGGACACCACCAATCACAGCGACCGGTGCTTAGGAGCTTTGTAGTGTCAAGTGCTGTGAATGGCTCGTGTCCAATTGAGCCGTGTCCAATTGGGTGCCACCCTCTAAATTGATCCGTATAAACGTAATCATATAGATTTATGTTCATCCACAGATTACTTGTGGTAAGAGAAGATCAAAACCGAGTTCGTCTAACCAGTATACATTGTAATCCTTCTAATAGTAATGAATTTTGCGTCAGTGGCTATTCTTCCTATGTGAGGGTATATGATCGGCGAAGTGTTTCAAAACCGCTTTATCAATTGTGGTCCAATAAGTATAACATGGTACGTTAGTTTGTTACAATCCTATTGCTTAAAAGTTTATCAATATTTAAAGAAATAGAACAATGTTTGCTTCTTTTTAACGTGAGTTTTAATTTTACATATGTAATTAAAATTGTTTTAGGATGAGTTCCTGTGCATAGAAACCGCTATGTATAATCACAATGGAACAGAAATCCTCACATTGTATAAGTCCGATGGTATATTGTCGAATAAAATATTGTTATTTGATAAATCAACGTGGTCATGTGAAGGAAGTTGGAAACATATATACGAAAGACCTCGATTTCACGGAAGAAAACAGTCTCGTTTAAAATGTAATTACATTATTGTATTTTATACTCTCAACTTTATATTTTTTTATTCTTAGATCTCTTTATTTTATTTATGTTTCGAGAGAGAAAAACAAACATACAGTTACAGTATTCACTTTTTAATTAATTTTTATTCTGAGTTTTTTGTTTAAAAATCTTTTTATGTATATAAGTTTGTTCGCGTTGCCTGACATCTCAAAAAATTTTTGCCCTTACAGTGAGATAAATATATATTCGCGCGTCGAAGCGAAAGAAAACGAAGATGCTTAGTGCAAAAATTGCAAGCAACGCGAACAGATTTTATCTTTTGAAATTCGTCTATATGTTTGAAAGTAATGCTTTAAATAATTCTTATTTATTAATAATTGATATTAAGTAATGTCGTTTGTGTTTGGTATGAAGCTTGTGCCTCTTGCGTTATGTGTAACGCACTTTTTCTCATTTAATGCTCTGTGGCTTGCGTTGCGTGGTGCACTGTAGAATTTAGTGAATGCAGCTTGATAGACAAAATTTCTTTATTTTGCTTGTACAAGAAAAGAGCTTACAAGTAACCCTACCCAAGTGTCATTCACCGATTTTTCTGAAACTTGGCATGGTATTAAAACATCGAAAAATATTTGACACGTATTTTTTTATATCGGCCCGTTTTGCATTTTAAGGGTAGAAAACACCCTTTTTCAATTAAGGGGGATGAAATCAATATCTCAGAAAGTACTTATTAAATTTTCATGAAACTTGTACTCGGAGATTTTCGAGGTCGCTGATTACGAAAATGATGTCAAATTTTCAAAATTCAAAATGGCGGATCCAATATGGCGGAAGAAACATTAAAAATCAATCGAATTTACTTGAAATTAGTTACTCAGGGGTTATCGGGGTCACTAATTACGAAAATGATGTCAGAGTTTGAAAATTCAAAATAGCAAATCCAGTATGGCAGACGAAAAAATTAAAAAACAATCCAATTTGTTTGAAACGTATTAAGGAGGGTTGATACCCTAAAATCAGTTCATCGACAAATATTTTTTATAATGCATTTGTGCACTTAAATATCATTTTTAACGATATTGCTGAAAGGAGACAGGCCCCTTTTTCCTAAAAAAAATGTAAAACCAGAAACATTCGTTTAATTAATTCCTGTTATTTTCTACTGAAATTTTCTTCATAAATAATATTAAAAAATTTTTAATAATTACCGGAGTTTTATGAACGAGGGATTACATTCTTAAGAAAATGATTATTCACAACTTGTCTGAAAAAAATTTCAAATTTTAATGTCAAATGTTAAAAATAGGGATTTGTTTAAAAAACATTACTGTTTTTTTTCATGATATGTTTAATAATTAAAAGTTACAAACTAAATTTAGGGAAGTTTATTCAGAGAAGTTGTAGAGAATCAAATTCTTATGAAATTAAGCAAACATTCATTGAAATTCGTTAATTATTAAAAATGTTTAAATATTTTTTATGAAGAAAATTTCAGTAGTAAATAACAAGTATTAATAGAATGAATTTTGCCGAGTTCAAATTTTTTTTTAGGAAAAAGATACCTTTTCCCTTTCATCCCCTTTATCGCTAAAAGTGATATTTTATATCATAAACGCAATATAAAAAATATTTTTCGATGAACTGATATTACGGTATCGACCCTCCTTAAACGACATTCTTCCAACATTTCTTCGTTTATCGCTATGTGTTTTGAGTCACGAATTTAATTATTTTACTGGATACAACTTGATTGATTTTTAATTTTTTCATCCGCCATATTGGATCCGCCATTTTGAATTATGAAAATCTGACATCATTTTCGTAATCAGCGACCCTAAAACCCCCGAGTAACAAGTTTCATGAAAATTCCATTGATTTTTAGTTTTTTCGTTCGCCATATTGGATCCGCCATTTTGAATTTTGAAAATCTGACATCATTTTCGTAATCAGCGACCTCGAAAACCTCCGAATAACAAGTTTCATGAAAATTTAATAAGTACTTTCTGAGATATTGATTTCATCCCCCTTAAATGAAAAAGGATGTTTTCTACCCTTAAAATGCAAAACGGGCCGATATAAAAAAATACGTGTCAAATATTTTTCGATGTTTTAATACCATGCCAAGTTTCAGAAAAATCGGTGAATGACACTTGGGTAGGGTTACTTGTTAGTATGCTCGTACGGATGAGAAGATACAATTAAACTTAGAAGTAAAAAAATGTCATGTCGTCTTGTAACGAACGGAACGGAACTAACTACTGTGCGCAGCATTCTGCGCAGCGAGCCCGAGTGCTCACGAGAGGTAACGAAGGCGCACGGGGCGATCACGTGACGATCTGGTAATACCGCGACTAGGGAAATTCACGTGAAGCGGAATTACAAAATCTTATATGGCGCGAATAAAATAAATTCAACTTATTGACAGCGTATACAGTTTGTGTGTTGTGATTACAGTATTGGGAATTAATTTTTTCGGACCTAATAGTGAATATATTATGTCTGGATCCAATTGTGGTGATATATTCATTTATGACAAGAATACAGAAGACGTTGTACAGTGGTTGTCACTGTACGATCAATTTTTTAGGCCCAGAAGAGATTATGAGGTTTTCTATTTCATACATTTGATAAAGAATTTTTTTTTCGCAGTTTATGTTGCATAACATAACTTTATTTTAGATTTAATTTATAGATATGTCACGTAGTGAGTCATCCGCATATTCCCATTCTTGCGGCGAAACACAGATCCAGTGGTGTTAGAATATGGTCGCCTTCGAGCAGAGAATCTCCGACACAATCAAAATTCAGGAATAAAGGTATAGATAAGAATCATTTGTATATAATTTTTTTGCGTTTCTCTTGTTGCTTTGTCATACAATATAATCAATAAGTAATATTTTTGGTACAAAAGTTCCTAAAATAAACAATGCGCAGTTAAACACAACAGACTAATTGTATCGCTAAATCATAAAATTATGATTTATGCAACAGTTTCCCGTTCTTCACAAATACGTCAAGTTCAATGTGATGAGTAGGAAGCAAGATAAACGATTCCTTCTTCTGATTACTCTGACAGATTTTTTGTCGTGAAAGTTCGTGAAAGTAATGTAATATATCATATATGTCGATATCGAATTGACTATTCCGTTGCTTTTCTAGAAATAAAGACGTTATGTGAACGCAACCTAAGGAGGCAACGACTATTATCTCTCCGACCAGAATTATCTCTTTAAAGAAGAACATCGTAATGCCTACAACATCGATGACTATTATTCGGACGACTTATTGATGGCGCTAGATGGACGAGAGTGATAGTCAGTTGGGAGACAAGGATGTTTTGGCACAATATGGTGTTAAATAAAAGAAATATAATAATGATTATTGTTTATTCTGTCGTCTTTTGATATTCGTCAATTTTGACCACGTGATTCTTTTTGTCGCTGAAACAGCCGGTTTGAGCAGCTCGTGAAAATTTACCCTTAAAGTTATGATTTGATAACGCGATTCTGACAAACACTTTATTATTTCTCACGTATCACTTTATTATTTTTCATATAATATATACTACTCTGTCACTTTCCGTTAAATGGCCATTTAAATCCTTTATATGAACATTTCAACGGTGTAGACAGACAGCGACAATAAAGAGAAGAAGCGAGATGGAATATCAGTATCCTGATTGGTTACATACCTCGCTCGCGCATGTGCAGTTCATCCACAGTGAAATCGTGAGAGTCGCGCTGTTATATACTATGGTAATATTTTGCCTTTCTGCTTTTTGTGTCCATTTTTGGCGTGGGAATATTGATTAAAAGATCGAGAAAAAGCTTGTTATTTATCGCTACGCTGCATACATACTGCATCGAAACCATTTCGCTATCACTAAATATTATGTGCATATATATATATATGGGGCGTTCTCTGTCAAAACGGTCACCCCCCCCTGCCCATTTCAATTTTTGAGATAAAAAATGCTTTATAAGGGCTTAAAATTTTCGTTAAAATATCTATTTTTTAAAGCCGTATGATGTTTTTCGAACAACCAAAATGGCGGGCGTATTAAGAAGACAACATGAGGAAAGTGATGAAAAAGTTTCCTTTTCTTGAAAACAAAAAATACAAACCCACCTAAAACATAAAAATTATGTTATCATGCCTAAATTGTAAAGTTATATATGCACTATTATTAGCAATATCGTATTTCAGAAAATTTAAAATGGCGGATCCAATATTGCCGACCGAAATTCACAAGATTTGGATGACAGTTTGTATATGGGGGTTTTCAAGGTTGCTTTTTGCGAATCTGAAGACAAAATTCAAAAATAGAAAATGGCAGATGCAATATGGCCGACCTAATTTCAATAATTTATATGATTAGTTTGAAACTCGGTACTCGGTTTTTCGATGTTGCTGGTTGTGAATCTGAAGTAAAAATTCATAAAATTCAGAATAGCCGATGAGTAATATATAAAGTTTCATCTGATCTGAGTGGAGCCTAGACACGTATTTTAGAAAAAGAATTTATTCGATACTGATTTTGTTTCGTGAGTTATTGAAGCTATAAAAACGGCACCTGGGCGAATGTATATGTACGTAAATACAAGATCACAGACAGGAATTTTGTTGTTATCGGGTTACTTATGATCTGAAACGTGAAATTTCATGAAAAAAACAGGCTAATTTTTGTAACCGTAGTAACCAAATTCAGTA